AAATACATCCTAAAAAATACCCTTGAAGAAACAAATTAAATGCAAACAGCCACTTTACCTCTTGGTCTTAGTTCGGGTTTCTTCAGTAACATCGTCGTACTCTTTAATCAAATACCTTCTAGCATAATCGCAACTTTTGAGGTAAAACGTGTATTGCTCGTCTTCAGTTAATGGTAGTTGATTGATGTCGAACGCATCCTTGTTTTCATCTGGCAGATACGTATGAAGTCGTTTGCTGTTGTCGTTCACGAACAGCCATTGGTTTAACATGAAGTGACTCACCGCTATGTTGGCAATGTAGATTTTCCTTTGTAATTTGAACAAGCTGAAGACAAAATTTGAAAATGTTATTAGACCAAAGTGAGCTGGAACACTTACAAAGGAGATCGGCCGGACAATAACAGCAGCAAATCGACGAAAAGGGCGGGCAGTACATGGAAGAGAAGCACATTGATGTAGAAAATAAGGAAGTACTTGGTCATGGAGTTGCCAGGAAACCAAATTTTGTTCTTAAAGGGCACTTCCCAGTACAATCGCCTGCCCGTTTCCACTAGATAGTTTTGCTTCACTATCTGCTCATTGTATTTGCTGGCTTGGTATATGGATAGGCTGGATTTTTGCCTGAAAAGCCACTGTTTTATTTAAACATGTCAAGCAATTCCAGCAATCTCATCGTGCCAACGACTAGATTCCATGTACATTTCGATATTACTTTGATTTGTTCGAAGCAGATTCCTGGCTAGTTATTTACATTAAATTAGTAATTAGTTCCAGACTAACTTAACTTCCTTACCCTAAAACTGCCTTGTGCCACAAGGCCATAATGATGATCTTAGCGACACTATCGACTGACACGTAATCTGGAATTACGTCTGGATCTCCATAGACTGTTCTGAGGATTCCAGCCCCTCCAGCCAACAGCAATCCTACAGGTCCATTGAAGTTGTCATTCCAGCCCTGGAAAGGCTCCACCAAGGTGCTGACCACTGCAAAAACCCGGCTGCTATTAGCTGAATTCATTAGCTTGATGTTAGCTTGCCTCTTACCAACTGAAGGTCTGCAGATGATGGCAGGCACTTTTCCCACCAGCATGTCGTTAATACAGTATTCTGCCAATTGTTTGGTGTAGGTGTACGTGTTGGGAAAAGGTTCCATGAATTTTTGCGTGAGCACATTCAGCGTATGACTATCCATTGACTCAGCAGCGCAAATTGCTTCCTTCCAGTCGCCATGCTGAGGGTAAAGGACTTCATCCACTATCTGAAATCGGTGAATTTTTTAAATTCGCACATGGAGATGTGTGTAGAACATTCTTCAGGCCGGGCTGCTCTCTTCGCGACTTTATGTTATGAGCAAACGAATGAGAATGTGCAATGGATGTCCTTCACGTCAAGACTCCGAAGTTTCCAATAATTTCATTTGGGACGAAAAACTTCTTACCTTCTTACCATCTATGTTGCAATACGTGGTCGATACGTGTAGGAACACTTGGATATTTTTCATTTCCAGTGCTAAGAGAGCCACTTCCCTAGCTGCTCTGATATTGGTGAAAATGGCATCTTTTAGAAAGTCGTCGAACTTAACAGATGCTGCTGTATGGCAAATAAAGTGCACATCCTGAATGAGCAGCTTTCGGTCTTCATCGGATATCCCTAGAGGAAAACTATCATAGTTGGTTGCAAGTTCAAGTCTTGAAACGCCGTTTTACCTAGTCCGAGTGTAAGCACGTCTCCCTTGATGGGAATAATTTTCTTTAGGTTCTCAGGGTACATTTGCTTCAGTTTCTCGAACAGCTGCAACATTAATTGCTTTAGAACTACACCAAATTTGCCAAAATTGCCAAAACTGGGGAGTTTTTCAGGCTTTTACGTCTCCGTGCAAAATAATTTCGTCCTGGCATTTCTCAAGAATAAGTGACTTATATCTTCAAAGGTGTTTTCTGATGCCGATGTACTTCACGCAGGGTGTGAAAACAAGTTTAACGGAAATTTGTCTTCGAACTTTTACTACAAGTACCTACAGACGAAACTAAGCAGATTCAAATCCAGACTTCTGACCAGAACCAATTCAACCTACTGTTAACACTTGTGAATAGATCTGAATTGGTTGGGAAAACCTTGGAAGAGCTCTAAAACTAATTAAACGGGGCTTTCCTTCTTAAAAAAATAATGTGTTAAGCGGTTCAGTAAAACTTGGTTGCAAATTATTTCGTCCGTTAAACACTTTAATGATGAGCAAATGTCGCCATTTTCGTAAACAAGAGTTTCCCTTTTAAAAAAGAGTGGCTGATTTGCGCTCTTTTCGCAGAAAATTAGCAAGATCTGAAGCCAATAAATGTTGTACAGAGGCAAACTGAACAATAGAGCTTTTCTTAGCTTGAATTTATCGAATTGATACATAAAGTACGTGCTGCAGTGTTAAAAAATTAGACTTTAGTCCTGGAATTTGCTTCGGGCAATTTGAAAATGTCTTTTCAAGCACTGTTTTTGCAATTTTTACAAACTGTTCTGAGAATGTAAAGCAACACTGCAGTTTGGAAAGGTTTCACCCTTCAATCTTTAAACACCCAAGCAAATATTACTTTTCAGCTGCGACATGTTTGGAAAATGCTTATCATTTTCTTAACCAATTGATCAATTACTCATCAATCTTCCTGTACTTACCGTAGAAGACGTAATTTGCTCCAGTCGCTCTTCTAGGGACTTTCCCTTTTTGGGTCGCATCAGAATGTAAATCTTGCCCAAATCGGGACAAGAGCGCAGAAATTTTTCAATGCAAGCTTTCCCAATGAATCCACTTCCTCCGGTCAGGAAAATGTTTTTGCCTGCAAATCCCTTGCATTCAAGTGTTTATGCGTAAAAAAAATTAATCAAGTACCTTTAAAGCATTCTTGGATAGTTTGCGTGGCAGCCATCCTGAAGTCGAATCTTACCGCACTACGATACTACACATATGGCACTTAATGAACGCCCTCAGTGAACTTTTCGGTAGTTTAAATTAAAATTTCAAATCGTCAGTTTAAAAAAATAATTAAATTCGCCTCGGTCACTGTTCAACAATAAGAATACGGTAAAAATGCGCCTTTTATACAGGGTTATTCACGCTCTACGGCACGGAAGTTTGCTGCTAAAACGCTTGGTTTTTTAAAAGTATTTTTTTATGAAACTGGGCACACAAACAAGGTGATATATCATTTTTGAGCTTTTAGTTAAAAACACCATCAAAGAACGACTATTTGGCGTATTTTGTAAAAACCAAAAGAATTAGCCATTAACATCCTAATACCATTCTATAGGTAACTCAAAGATGCATTTCCTGGTAAGTTCAAAATTATGGGGTTGTATTTAAATTAATCAAGTTATAGCCACTTAAAGTTCTTATTTGATCAGTTTAAATTTGTGAACCCTCTGTATAACATCGCAAGTTCAATATCATTGGGATATAAAATATGAATTCTTGTTACACTTCACTACAAATTACGCTAACATAACAATAATTCTAAAGTATTAAGATTTAGCTATTATAATCGTTGTTAAAACACACACTTATTATGCTCAGATAATCCAAAAATGCAATAATGTATAGGGTATTTTCTTCCGTGCCGTATAGCGTGAATAACCCTGTACAAGCAGAAATCGATCATTTTCCTTGATTCAAATTTGATGTGTATTTCCAGCATGTTTGTCTCATCGTTATTACATTGGCAATTTTGCCGCTGTTTTCATTGTATGTAAAATGGTCGAAAAGTTACTTGACTATTGTCTGATTGAATCCGATTAATTCAAATTTCTCGAACGTAAACTGCATAAACCCATTTAGACTAACAACAGGCATAAACACGTGTTTATACAAACTGGAACATTCAACAATTGCTAGACTGTACTTATTTGTATAACTGGAAATTTATGTCTTATTGATTACCCAATAAAGGTAATTAATGTTTTTATCCTGCTCGTAATTACGCCTTGGAGCTTCAAACAATGGCTTTAAAGCAAGAGGAGTTTGATGGTCCGCAACTTAATTACCTGCGTAATTTATCATTTTCCAATGAATAACACGCTTTAACTTCAAGTAGACTTTCGATCAGATTGTGGACTAAACATGATTGTTCTAACTGTGCTTAACTTAAAAAAAAGTACGGCAAATTTTTGAAACTGATGAGAGTTTTTGAACTTTTAGACCGTCGTGGAAACTTATTTTTCCTCACGTTTTGCAAGCTCGAGTGGCTTTTGATAGTTAAAAAGGTAATATAAAATGAACCTCCTTCCGAGTTAGCAGCTTTTCTGGCAGTGAGTGTTTAGGATCACTTTAATAGAGCATTTTCGATGGAAAAGATTGCGGATTCAAAATCCATCAAAACGGTGGAAGAAAAAGTGTAAACCTTAGTAGATCCTAACAGTTTTACAGGTAGAAACAGTTGATAATATCACAAAAATATAAGGAAGCTTCTAATAGAACAGCTACAACACTACCGTTTCATATGAAGTGCTGAACATTTAATGAGATAAAAGCTTAAGTGTTTAATTTTAACAGGCTTTTAGGATTCAAACTTTTATATCGGGAATACGGTTCAAATAGTTGAACACTCATCAAGACTTTTCAGGAGTGGGGCTGAAGAACTATCCTTCTCTCAATTGTTATTATCATCATCAGGTTTTTGGCTTTAAAGATAAACTTTGGAGATTCTGATATACTGCGCTCCATATTTTTGATCTCAAGTTCCTCATTCTAAAAGTATGCAAGTCACTGGTTGTTAGTTCGGAGACGCTTACATTTGTCTTTAGCAAACGATATTAGAATCTCAAGTTTGCCTAAGCCTATATGGGTTTAACTAACTATAATCCCTTATAATTGGATGGATGGGCTAATGGAAACTTCCGTGGGTCGCAACGCAATTGGGAAATTCCAAAGCTGGATTTATACGTATGGACGAAAGTTTTTCCAAACTTGTTGCCGTGAATTCGATTCCAGAAAATTCAATAATTTTAGCGAAGGCACTCTGTATTAAAAAATTATCTCAACAATAACGATTCATTAACAAATTTAAAAAAGAGTGAAACCAGGGCAGTAAATCTTATAAGCTATTCCAATAGTCGCGAAGCGAATTCAGCAGGATCTTCACTACGTTGATTTTGTAAAATACAATCCAGGCCATCCAGCTGTAGAACAGAAACTTGTTCAAGCAATGCAGGAAATACATCCTAAAAAATACCCTTGAAGAGACAAATTTAATGCAAACAGCCATTTTACTTACCTCTTGGTCTTAGTTCGCGTTTCTTCTGTAATGTCATCGTACTCTTTGATCAAATACCTTCTAGCATAATCGCTACATTTAAGGTAAAACGTGTATTGCTCGTCTTCAGTTATTGTTGTTGTTACAGTTATCCTGCATAGACATTTTCTGATCAATAACACAGGAACTAATGCCTACTCATAAAACATATGCCACTAAGAAAATGCTACTTGATTGTGGATCTCACTAAGGCGTTTGACGCCGCACGCCTGGAAATTGATGAAAATTATTGAGGAAAAGCCCTCTAAATATGAACGATGAAGGAACTAAAGAGTCATATTAGGGAGCAAAATCGTCTAATGCAAAAGAAATGTTGTGCAATCTCATCGTGTAAACTACAAGATTCAATGTACATTTCGTTATTAATTTGATTTGTGCTTTGATTGCTTTGAAGCAGAATCCTGGCTAATTAATGGTCGATAGGTTGCTATTAACTTCTTAATTTGTTAATATTCTCCTCTGTGCTTTTTTAATAGCATTTTTTAGGATTTTTTTGGGCTAAAATATCTTTTATTTTGTTTCTCTTTGCAAATTGATTTTCTTTTGCGCTTCTGGAGTGCATCCTTTATAATTGTTCGCATTCCATTTTAGTAAAAATCAATTTTTTGTGTCTGAATACATGCTGGATATTGTAAATTCTTACATTTACTATCTCATAATAACTTTCCTCATTTTCAATTATTGTCTGTTTCGTAAAATGCCCGTTTTGGGATCATTCCGCCCAGTAAATTTCAGTAAATTCCTATTTCTTTTTTGTTTTGTGTAACTCACAACCTTTATTTAGCGATATTTTTAAGACATTATGAGATATATCTAAAGGTGCTAGAGATTTTCAAATTTTGCTTCCAGCTCCTGAGATTCTCATCATTTCTGAGACATACGCTTTAAACTTGGACTGCTTCTGAAGCTGAAAATTTCAGTTCTAACTTTTTAATAGAAGGATTTTCTGCAGAAGCTCCACTAGAGAACTACAACTTTCGAGCGGCTCTATCGAAAAGCTCCTAATGATTATTGAGATATTTTTCACTCTTGCCGAGATATGAGCTCCTATACTTTGACGACTCAAAATTTTGCTTCGTAACTGTTTAGAGGTTGAGAATATCTGAGGAAGCTGAATTATTGAAAAACATTATTTTAGACAATAGAGCGGGAAGGTTTCAGTAAGAATTGAGATGCAGTTTCTATTATATTATGCAGATCCAATAAATCAATTTATAAGTATGGACGCAAATTTTCCGAACCTTTTCTTATTGACTTTGCAATTTTTTTCGTAATACTCATAGATGGTGTTGCAAGAAATTCAGCATTTTCAAAAAAGACAATGTAGTAAAGAAAAGTATCTCAGCAGTCATGATTTATTAGCAAACTTAAAAAATAGTGGGAAAATAGGGCAGTAAATCTTATAAACTGTTCCAATAGTCGCGAAGCGAAATCAGTAGGATCTTCACTACGTTTATTTTGTAAAATACAATCCAGGCCATCCAGCTATAGAACAGAAACTTGGTCAAGCAATGCAGGAAATACATTCTAAAAAATACTCTTGAAGACACAAATTGAATGCATACAGCCACTTTACCTCTTGTTCCTAGTTCGCGTTTCTTCCATAATGTCATCGTATTCTTTGAGCAAATACCTTCTAGCATAATCACAACAATTGGCGTAATACTTGTATAGGTCGTCTTCAGTTAATGGCAATTGATTGATGTTGAATGCATCTTTGTCTTCATCTGGCAGGTACGTATAAAGTCGTTTGCTGTTGTCGTTCACGAACAGCCATTCCTTTAACAAGAAGTGACTCACCGCTATGTTGGCAATGTAGATCTTCCTTTGCAATTTGAGCAAGCTGAAGATAAAACCTGAAATTGTTATTGCATCAAAGTGAGCTGAACGATACTCACAATGGAGTTCGGCAGGCCAATAGCATCAGAAAGTCGACCAAAAGAGCGGGCAGTACATGGTAGAGAAGCACTTTGATATAGAAAATATGGAAATACTTGGTCACTGAACCGTCCGGGTACCAAATGTTTTTCTTAAAGGGGACGTCCCAGTACAATTTCCTGCCCGTTTCCGCCAGATAGTTGGGCTTCATCAACATTTCCTTATATGTGCTAGCTTGGTATATGGATAGGCTGGATTTTTGTCTGAAAACAGCTGTTTTATTTAATCGTAGAACATGCACACTTCCGAAGGTAACTATATACTGACAAAAGCGATTTGTTTGGATGAAAGTGTGTTAACATAAACTCATATATAGGGTGAACACATTCCAAAGTTAGCTACTACAAATCCCAAACTTTGATAACCTGTATGTTATTAATGAAGTATGAGAACAATTTTAACTTCGAATAATGTGCCTGATCAAGACGCGTAGTCCTGTATGTATGTATATACTAAACCATTCTCTATGAATGGCGATGCATTAATAAACGAACGAAATACGGATTGCATGACATGAACCTATAGAGAATGGACATTAGAATGAAGGCAAACCAATAGATATTCCGCAAAATTATAAAGTTCTGAACCCAAGAAGAATAATATCATTTGGACATAGAAGAACAAGCAGAGTTTAGAGCCGGCAGATCGACAATCTTTGATTAATAACACAGGACTAGTGTCCCCTCATAACACATGTGATACTAATAAAATGCATCTATGTGTTTGTGGATCTCACTAACGCATTTGACACCGTACGTCTAGAAATTTATGGAAAGTATTGAGTAGAAACCCTGTAAATATTAACGCTGAAGACACTAAAGAACGGTTATGGCAGCAAAATCGTCAAAAGCACAACGCAGATCATAACAAGCAGTTTCGGTAATCAATTTAAAGATCATAAATTTTATTATGTAAAAGTCTAGATTCTTTTTAAAAGTCTAGATTCTTTTTAAAAGTCTAGATTCGTTATTAATTTAATGTTTTCGAAACAAATTCATGGCCAGTTATTTACCTTAAACTAGTAATTAGTTCCAAACTCTCGAAACTTCCTTACCCTAAAACTGCCTTGTGCCACAAAGCCATAATAATGATCTTGATCACATTATCTACTGCCAAGTAATCTGGATTGAACCCGGGATCTGCATAGACTGTTCTGAGGATTCCAGCCCCTCCAGCCAACAGCAGTCCTACAGGTCCATTGAAGTTGTCATTCCAGCCCTGGAAAGGTTCCACCAAGGTGCTGATCACTAAAAATTTCGGTTGCTATTGTGTGAATTTGTTAGCTTTGCTAGCTTGACTGTTACCAATTGAAGGTCTGCAGATGATGGCAGGCACTTTTCCCACTAGCATGTCGTTAATACAATGTTCTGCCAGTTGTTTTGTGTAGGTGTACGTGTTGGGAAAAGGTTCTATGAATTTTTGTGTGAGCACATTCAGCGTATGATTGTCAATTGACTCAGCAGCGCGAATTGCCTCCTTCCAGTCGCCATGCTGAGGGTAGAGGATTTCATCCACTACCTGAAATCAGTGGATTTATATTATCTACAAATCGAAATGAGTTTAGAACATTCTACAAGGCAGCCAGCCCTCTTCGCGACTTTGTCTTATGAGCAAACGAATAAGAATGTGCAATAGATGTTCTTCACGTCAAGACTCACTGCACTTCACGAAGATTCCATTAATTTCATTTAAAATCAGACACTCATCACATACTGGCTTTCTGGGAAGAAAAACTATTTACCGTTTTACCATCTATGTTGCAATATGTTGTCGATATGTGCAGGAAAACCTGGATATTTTTCATTTCCAGCGCCAATAGAGCCACTTCCCTGGCGGCTCTTATGTTGCTGAAAATGGCTTCTTTTAGAAAGTCGTCAAACCTAACAGATGCTGCTGTATGGCAAATAAAGTGCACATCCTGGATAAGCAGCTTTCGGTCTGCATCGGATATCCCTAGAGGAAAACTATCATAATTGGTTACCAGTTCAAATCTTAACACGTCGTTTTACCTAGTCCGAGTGTTAGCACATCTCCTTTGATGGGAATAATTTTCTTTAGACTATCAGGATACATTTGCTTCAGTTTCTCGAACAGCTGAAACATTATGTGCTTTAGGACTGTACAAGATTTATCAGAAGAGTTGGGCTTCCGCAGCCAATGCCTAAAACTTGTGAGTTTTTCAGTATTTTTGGCCTCTGCGGAAAATAATTTCTTTTCTTTCCCAACGTTTTGCATGCACGGGTGGCTACATCTTCAGCGGCGGTTTGCTCTGTGCAGCAACAGGGGATGTTCAAATTTCTGTTTATACACATTGATGTACTTTACGCAGCGCTGTGTTCAATAGTTCCCACGACTTGGAACGCCAGTTGTATTCTTAGGTACAACTCAATTTTCACGATCAATTACTTTATCTCAATCGTCCGATACTGGTGGAGAAACCGTTGGGAGAGCTCCAAAGTTAGAAAAACTGGGTGTCTCATGGTGTTCAGAAATCAAGTATCACGCAATTCGGTTAAACTGCAGTAGTTAAAAATTGGGTCTTTGAGTTGGATTTTCTGATACTCCGCAAATATTTGTTTAAGCGCTGCTTTCGCAATATGCCTTTGTAATTCTACAAGGGACATTTTGAAAATGTTTTAGATTTTCTTAACGCAGTTTTGAACACCCTAAAATTTTCAGGGTCGGTATATTTGAAAAATCTTTACTATTTGACTAATCACTCTACCGATGAGGTGTCCTACTTACCGGTGAGGATGTAATTTGCTCGAGTCGCTCTTCTAGAGACTTTCCTTTCTTGGGCCGCAGCAGAATGTAAATCTTGCCCAAATCGGGACACGAGCGCAGAAATTTTTCTATGCAAGCTTTCCCAATAAATCCACTTCCTCCGGTCAGGAATAAGTTTTTACCTGCAAACCA